GTTTATCAATTAATTTTACCAGAACACTTTTATTATATAAGCTAGCTTTTTAGCTATAAGTCATAAGCTATAAGCTCAAAAATTACTGATAAGCTATAAACTAGCTTATCAGCTATCAACTAGCTTTTCAGCTAGTTTTACCAAACATAGCCATTATCTAATGAAAACAGAATGATATTCAATCGAGCTAATCCATTTGCACTAATGTATACAGACGAGTGACATTAGTTTGGAATGTGTGCCTCTTAAGGATGGTGGGTTCAAGTTCTACGAGAAAATATGTAAGTCGGTTCTCCTCACAGAACATGATCCGATGGTGAACCTACTGAAGTATAGCTCTGATGTGCATGAGTGGGTGTTGGATTTGTCACGAGCCCTGGTGACCTAAAGTCAGTAGGGTGGCAACAACAACAGGTCCAGCTTGATCAAAATTGGTTTAGAGAAGCGTGCAACAATCTGAATACCGGTCGAAAGTGCTTGAACCTCCACATTGTAACTCGAGGAGGTTTGAAGGATCGTGTGGAAGGCGGTGATAAGATTTCCGTTGTGGTCACTAATCAGGCCTCCTCCTCCTGCAGCTCCAGTGCATCGGCCGAAAGATTCTTCGGTGTTCAGCTTGACCCAACAGGAGCCAGGTCTCTACACAATAATGGTGTTGGCACGAAATAGTGGGGTTGCGTGCATCTTTTCCAATCTCAGGGCGTGAGCTTGCCTAGAGCTGTAAGGAGACAAATATGTAGATTCACATGCAAAACAATGTGAGAGAACATAAAAGTAATATCCATATGTTTAGTATTATTCCTTTCCATCCAGATGAACCAAAGAATCAGACAGGGAATAAGGAAGGTGTAACGGCCCGTCAATTTTTCGAAATTAATTTTCTATTTCAAACATTTATTAGCATTACTCAAAACATTTTCACAAGTAGCTCAAGTCATATCTGAGCCTTCGGGAACTCATTGCCCAATGACACTTGGGATCTCATTGCCCATTACATATATCACATGCAAGATAATAATCAAACTCAATATCATAATCTCATAATCATGAATAATCCAATAAGTTAAGAATATGTTCCACAACATTCAATACAAATTTTGAAGAAATCACAAGTTATAGCGGAAGCAATTTCAAAACATAACATAAACAAGTAAAATTACCCCCACTCGTTCATCTCGCCCCACCACCAACTCAACCTGAAAAGAGATATAATAATGGGGGTGAGCAAACCAACTAGCTCACTGTAGGAATTACTTAAGTTTGTCCCATTTTTGTTGCTTTTTTGTAGTTATTTTTCCTTTATTTTTCTCTCGTTTTAGGTCATTTTGTTGATTTAATGTTCGGTTTTCCATTCATTGTGTGCTTTCATCTATTCGGAGTGCTTTCGGTGTTTCTCATTTTGTTTTCTGTTTTATCCGTTTTTGTTTTCGTTTTATGATGTGCATGTCTGGTGCCACAGTCGATTACAATTTGAAGGAGAAAATATTTTTGGCAAGGATAATATGGTAGAACAATGTGTTGGCGACGAGAAGGAAAAATCGTAACTCAGTTCTGAAGTCGAATGAGTTCGAACAGGCTCGAGGGGTGAAGTTCAGCATGCTGCCGAACCAGCCTGTTTTCTCTGCACGCGCCACCCTTGTCCCACCACAGTGCAAGAACAGAACTCCTTCACGGTGCGAGACCAACACCACGGCGCGGCAGACCACTCTCACCACGGCGCTGCACCTCACCACAGCGTGACAGCAACCTTCCTCGCGATGCGATACCATAACCACGACGCGACACCAGCCCTCCTTCACGCCATTAGACCCCAGCACGACAAGACACTGCTGATACTACAAATATGGGATCGGGATTTCATCGCCGCGACTGCGGCGAATAAGGTAAATTTCAGCGAGACAAAGTTCTGCTTCAGAAAAGTCGCAGCCTCGGAGCTTGTCGCAACCGTGGAGCTTCACATCGCCGCGGCCGCGAAGGCCGCCCATATCAGTTTTTTTTAATAGCAGATGTTTAGTTCGATCGTTATTAAGTTGGAAGTGAGGGTTTTGAACGTAGGATGGTCTCTTTCACTCGTTCTTCACTGTCTTCATACTTTTGATCATAGAACTCGGATTTAAACTTGGATTTTGTCGTAGCCTTGTGAATTAATCTTGTTTATCGTATTTGACTTTCAATTTTGGTGAATTGTAAGACTTCCTATTCCTTTAATCTATGAATATGCTTGTCTTGATTTATGAGATTGTTTGTGTTGAATCGATCATAAGAGGCTTAATCTATATGCTAGGGAATAGGGGATGATGTTTTGATTTCTTTTTCGATTATCGTGTTCGTGATTGTTCAATTTGTGCGAGTGATATTTTCCTAGGGTTTTTCATTCATCGTTCTTGGATTTTGAGAAATTGTTGAAGGGTGACACTTCAACTTCCCATGGTAAGCTTGATCAGATTTTCGATATTCTGACCTTCCAAGCAGCCCGAAGGAAAAATCTTGAGGTCGGAATCGAGAACCTAGCAGAACGTATTCGAGCTATGAAGGACCGAGTTAACAATTCTTTCCCCCATTTTCCCGTGGAAAATGAACATCTGGAGGACCCTTTGACATTTGACGAAAAACTCGATCTCATTCTTGCTCGTGTGTCGGCCCAAACAACTCAACTGGCGGAGATTGAGGTTCGATGCACTCGATTGGTGGTGCAGCTTGATGGTATAATGGAACACATCCAGTCCATTGAGCCACAAGTTGATGAGCCCCTTATTAATGTCTATCAGATTCACGTGGGCAAGACTGAAGAAGAGAAAGATGCACTTCCAGAGACTGAATGTGATATCCCGATGGAGGAAACACCTGGGTCCGAATTTGAGAGTCCCTCACTTGAGCCGTCCCTCCACACTGTCGAGAAGGCTCCATTTAGCTCGGCATGCTCCACAGACACTCTTGTATTCCGAGAGATTGACTATGGATCTTTGATGAGAAGAGCTCTGGGCCATTTCGCTACCATCCTTGGAGCTCATGCTCTGTTCCATAAGAACACTGCCACCCAAGCCCACCAGGTCCACAGACATGCCACGCTTCCCGTGTTGCCGCTTCTTGAGAATACAAAGGCGTGGCACGATCGTCACTTCTTTTTGGATCCTAGTTGAATCGCCACAGGTTCCGTCAAGCTAATGACGTTAAACAAGTGCTTCTTGGGAGGCAACCCAAGGAATTTATTGCTTTCCTAGACTTTTTCCTTTTTGCTCTTTTAGTTTTATCTTTTAATAATTAGAGTTGGGAGTTCTGTGTTTTCTTGGCAGGTACGAGTTTACGAGCTCGAGCAAGAAGAATATCGAGGTTCTGGGCTGAGCATAGGCGAGCGGCTTGCACGTGAATGCTTATTATCCTCGATGCATATTAGGTTTGCACACCCTTTCTCTTTTTATACTTTGTTGAGTTGTTTCTCTCCTTCTTTCCTTTCTTTTGAGTCTTGCGTTCTTGTGGTAGTTGCTAGTATTGGGTCGTTATATGAAATTGCTAGGTCATATTATTTTACTTCATGTTTTGTGTTGAAGCAGTGAGGTCACTCCTTCATTTAAGTGTGGGGGAGTCTAATTGGATTTTGCATGCTTATGTGGTGGACCGATCTAGTTTTAGGATTTTGTGTTGTTGAACATGTGGTATTGGTGAATTATATGAATTGTCGATGAAGGTTTAATGAAATTGGGAAGTTGTGATGACGGACGTGTTGGTCATTGCCTCGTTATTTGCTTGATTGCTTTGAGTGACATCTATTTGTCTTGTGAGGTTTTGATCCTTACTCTTGTTTCTTGTGAGATATTGGTCATATTCTTGAATGATTAGAACTTGCCTTGAGTTTGTTTGAACGAAATCGATTAGAGTTTGAAATTGCGAAAGTGATTGAGGTGTTTTGTTTCATTAGCTCTCTTTTTAGCCTTGTTCTTTTCCCTAGAAGCCTGTTTGAGCTTTGAGCCCTTTTGTTGTCAGTCGTACATGAAATGTATTTTGTTGACTGAT